TACTACGTGTTATCAATGCTAAGCAAGAGCCAGAAGTGACCTGGACTGGAACAGTGGAGGGTGACGGTTCAGAGAAGATAAAAAAATCCATTTAGGTTTTTCTCAAGAGAAGAAAACACCGAAATCCTCTCAAAAAAAACACTGTCAATATTTGATATAAATATGAATCCCTGCACATTATCATCATCTGGTAACGTAGATCTACAGCTGCAGTTGTATTCTTCTTTATTCATCTGACAAACACATAAAGATTTTGTGTCCCTCCTGGCCAAATCCTCCAAAGAATAACTGTTGGTGTAATTGGTTATTTCTGAGTCTGTGAGGTGAATAAATCTGACATTTGCTGGGTGAAAATCAAAGAAATGTGGTCTGGGTGTTGTAACAGTCTCAAAGATTCTTTAATTTCAGCTGAGCAAAGCTCACGTTAAATTGCATTTATTGGTGTTATACAAGGAATTGATTCGTCTTAAATCAGGATTAGCTGTGTCACTGGATCGTAAATGCCAATTACAAATCAGTTGATGTTCCTGCAAAGAGGCAAACAGCCGACAGACTGTCTCAAACACACCCTGTGCGCTAATTAAACCAGGCACATTTACTCACATTGGCACCGTTGTTTTTTATTTGCAGGAGATCATTTAGTCTTACACACATTTTAGCACTTCAAGTCCATCATCTTGCACTATCAAGAGCCCCGTGCAGTGCGATTTGCAGCTGAAGCACTTTTACATCTAATCAATAAAACAGACTTTCAGACCAACATGTTTACCTTCCTCCCTGCCTGCTCTGTAGAATCACAGTCAACAGCTGATTTGTCAGTCAACTGTGAAAGTGAAGATGTATCTTTGACCTTTGGTTGGATCAAGAGATGAAATAGTTACCTCAAATTAGTTGAACCATCTGATGAATTGTAGTTCACATTCTTCTTTTTGAGTTCTGCATTTATATGTCATCAGATGCACACTGTCTAAAATGAGGATCAGTTATCTGTTCATCAACATGAGTAAGGTGGCTTTATACACTTTTTCTCCAGTGCCATAAAGATTTAATTAGCTGTGTGCCAAGTCAGGGGCCGCATCCTTCAGAGGCTGCAACTAGGCTGTCCCATTTTGAGGACTCCTTGAAATGGGCCTCCCCTTCCTGAGCAAGGATGGATCAAACAAGTCCTCCTCTTGGACCAACCTGTCCTCTTACGACCCATTTCACTACTTGGTCTTCGGAGGCCAAATATTACAACTAGTGACATTTGATCAGAAGCGCAGATACATCTGCCAAGTCACAAAAGGCCCCTTAAATTTAATTTAAAGCACTATGTGCAAGTACAGCCTCACATGGTTAGTCTTGTTCATTTTTGGAAGAATTTGGGAAGAATTTGATGGTTGCACAAACACATCTTTATTCTCATTTCCAGTTATTTCACATTGACACTACTTCACTCACTGTGTTTAATGTTTCCACATTCACAATTTATATCAATCGTATCCTTTAACTCTCAAAAGAAACATTAACTTTTCTATCATCTATATTTTCCTGAACAATATCAAGGCATTACTCGTTTCCTGGGAAATCAGCTCCACACATAATGTCTTGTTATGTAGCTCTTCTGCTGGCTAATGTCTTTGTCAGATATATTATCCTTTTTGGCATAACCACCTTATTTTTCTTTTATGTATCCCAGAATGTTCATGAAACTTCATATGAAGCCCTTTACATGTTGGGTTGATTCAAACATGGCTACCATGACCTCCCTCATTCTTCAGCATGAACAAACATTTAAGAAAAACATGAGCCTCTCTTTGAGTGCATTGGTACATTCCACAATCACCACTCATCACGGTTCTGCTCCCGTCAGTCTCTGGGTAGAAATAGATATTCAAGCACCAGTGCTGCTGATGCAGGAACCTTTAAGGATTTGGCTTTTTACACTTCTTCATTGCTCATGCATGCTTAACCCCCGTAATGCAGTCCTACAGTATATGTAAATGTGTGTTAGAGAGAGAGAGTTGACATGTGGTGCCTTAGAGCGTGGACCGGTTTGATCCTCCTCCGTGTTCGCAGATAAAAGTCTATGAGTCACTGACTGGGATCTTTTAATGATCTCACCGGCTCCACCTAATTCCACCTCCCTGTTTTATTTTTCTCTCAATAATAGCGAGCGCTCTCTGACTGAATCTTCACGTTCTCACCACACTTAGCTACTGGAAATCAACAACGCTATTTGAAAAAGACAACTGCCAGCTGCAGGTCCCGAATGGGACTCACAGAGATACACACAAGAACTCATGATGTGGAATGTTTCAACACAACAATGTAATTCACAGGGGGACATGTTTGTAATGTTTATCCATCAAACATCCTGTGCTGATCTTTTAAATCCATTCTCTGTGACTCCTCGCACTTCATCCATTAGCTCCCATCCGTTTCCTGACATTTCCCATCTTTCAAACCCAAACACTAGAGGAAGAGTGGCAAATGGAAAACAGCGAAAAGGATCCAGTGGATTTAGTTGCTGGGGGACCTGAGAATGGATGTTTCTAGGGCTCCCTGTCCTAGTTAGGCCGGGCAGGGGATTCTAGCCTGTGTGTGAGGTAGAGTCTGAGCAGTGAATTATTCAGTGCAGCTTCCTTTAGTCATGCTCACAGTCCGAGGCTTTCGCACACACATGCCTGAGAGAGCCACTGCAGACACACACGTGAAAATACATTAACGTCAGGTCACAGGGACAGCAGAGACCTTCTCAGATCGATACAGAGCCCTTCAGTTTGTACCACTGACAGCGATCTGTGTTCCTCTATGATCTGTTTGTGTACGTACCACATGTGACAAATGAATGACACTATTAAGATACACAGAAACAGTATGAGGCACCATTTCTGCTGTGTGTCGGCTCTCAGTTTCAAAGTGTGATTTAAGTCGACCTTGGCTCGGAATCTTCACTTCAGCTGTCACATGCAGTTTCTGTCGTCGGTAGGAGGAGAGGCGTTCAACGATATGTTCAGCACCTGAATATGTTTCCCACTGTGAAACTTCTGCCAGAACAATCTGAACTGTGATGACACCAACAATGTCAAAGATAGGACGTCTATTACCTCGGCCAAGGAGGTGATGTTTTCATTGCTGTTTGTTTTTCTGTCGGATGAATTATTCAAAAACTGCTCAACCAATTTTCTTGAAACTTTGTGAAAGGCTGGGGTACGAGACGAGACAGAACCCATTAAATTCTGCCACTGATCCGGACAAAAGGGGAATTTCCTTTTTTGTCACTTTATATAACATTTTGAGATAAAGCTTTTTTTCACAGATTTCCAAGGGAAGCGATATCTATGAGTGTGAGTGATTTAATTCAGCTTGATCGTATTTAAGGGACATTTACAGAGACTCTATTGACGGCCATTAAGTGTTGAATGCTGAATACGATCAAAACCTGTGTATAAATACATACATATAGACTGGTTTTACATAAATTGTAATTATTAGAGATCATTCCTAGACTGGATTATTATGTACGATGGACTCACAAGAAATGATGTGGGTGTAATCCACCATTGCTGTGTCTAATTTGATCTCACTGGTTTTATTTTGGCCTCAGTGTTGACTGTTACCTTTCTCTACACAACACCAGAGCTGTATCAATTTACTGCTAATGCTGTGTGTTACCTGCAGCACAGTGTGAATTTGCATTACTCCTGTGTTTTTGACAAAGTCGAGCTGCTGAGTGAATGTTCACTGTGGTATTCCTGTTACTGCCACAGAATAATGAACCAGGAGCTGGGACCATACATCTCTGCAGTGTATCTGCAACTACTTGATATGCCTATTGTGTTTGTAAAAACCCACATCCCTACACATATAGGCAGAGTGAGAATGAGGTAAGGTCCGCTGTAGCAAAACTGATTTGGTCCAGACTTGGCCCTCACTTTCACTCTGCCACAGTCTTCCAGTCCACATACTGTGTGGAATGAAGGCATTTAGACGGTCTGCTCCTGTTTGTTGGATCTGAGCCAGGAGTTTATGAGCCAAAGCAACACCACATGCCAAACAAAGGTGCCATATTCACCATAGTCCACATGGGCCACTTTAGGTTCACATCCAGACTACTCCTTCCAGAGCGCACTACATGTTTGTCAGAGGCCCACATTGGTTTGAGGACATTTGAGCCACGTGCTCTTTTGCAAATGCGTCACTTTGGACTCATATCACCAGACGCACAAAACTAAGAATTACGACCAACACCTTCATGCTGTTAACACCAAATCATGCTATGTAATGAATGTGAAGAATCCCCTTTGGACATTTGCAGGACACACATTTCATTTCACAACCAGCTCTTTGGTTTTTCTTCTAATCTAAGTTTCTCTTGAATGTGAAACTTTCATTCAAGCTCTATACAGAAATTAAGCTCCATAAAGAAAAAAAAATGCTATTAGAGTCAATCAATAAACTGCATTACAAAGTGGGGTCTGGGGACTTTTAATGAGCCCTGATTCCACAAGGTCCCTGGATGAAATTAAAGGGAATAATTCGCTTCATTATGTTAATTCGGTAGAAACAGCTCCAATAAGAGTGTTTATGGGCTAAGCAGCCTCACTTCCACTGCCTGGCTCCCATCATATCTGTCACAGGCTCCAGAGTTTGCCTGCGCACTGCGTCCTATCTGAGCTTCCTCTGCCCAGGAGGGACCACTGCCACCGGGGAGGACAGCCGGGATTGCTTCAGGGCAGAGGGGTTTGGGGAGGAAGGAGTTGGTTGTGATGCTGTAAGGGATGGTGATGGTGGGGGGGGGGGCTGATGGAAAGGCTGTGTGACGCTGGCGAATTGCAGCAATTGTCAAACTGAGGAGTGAGGAGGAGAGAGAGCGACCGGGACGCACTGGATACAGCAGATTTGGGGAGGGGAAGGCAAGTGGAGGAAGGAAGGGGGTGGGGGGATACGAGACGACAGTATATAAAAAACCCTCATCAACAGGGGGTCGGATGGACTCGAGGGGACAGAGACAGGGAGCAGGGGACCGGCTCTAGAGACACCAGAAGGGGGGTCCCGTCAGGAGAGTCTGGGGGTGTCTGCGCCAAATCCGCTTCAGGGATGTAGTCGAAGCGGCTCCGAGCTCAGCCCGCCCGAGCTCATCATCACCATGAAGAAACACTCCGCCAGGGTCGCCCCGCTGTCCGCCTGCAACAGTCCGGTGCTCACCCTCACCAAAGTGGAAGGTAGGATGGAGTTCACATCACATGTCCGTGTGCAGCGCGCCCGCAGCCCCGCACACCGCCGCTGGTGTCCCTGCCTGGTGCGCGTTCGTTCTTTTTTTTTTTTTGGATGATCTGAATTTAGAAGCGTCCTGTTGTTGATCTGATAAAGAGAATGTCAGCTGGCAGAGACAGGCTTCAACTTTAGAAGATCTCTCTGCGGGCAAATACCCACGGGAACCAAACATGCGCGTAATCGCACATTATCATGTTCCATTTTTCTGCGCAAAAATGCACCCTGGGTCAAATCGCTCTACCTGTTTATCCCATTATTTTCTCTAATCATAAGATTTTACGGAAACCCTCCAAATGAAGCTTAGACATGTAGGCTATCATTTTCCAAACCACTACGTTGCACTGACGCGTTTATGTATGTATTTTTGGATGAAGCACTTGTGCCACATCCACTGCTCCTCGGGGAGGGTCTGAAGTTGTTATTGCAGCAGGGATTCCCCCTCACACTCCTCCACCACCACCCCTCCACTGCTAAAATAGCAGAGCATCACACCAAAGCAGCTGCTTTAGGACATGAACCCATGCAGCACTTGTGATTGTGGTCCCTGCAGGTGACTGCTCTCGTCCTCAGTCTGTCTCCTGTGGCTTCATTACGCAGGGTGTCCCTTGCTATGAGTCCATGTGATCTGCAGGGGCACAGTTATGGACACAACCCCTCTCTGACCCGTGTGTGTGTGTGTGTGTGTGTGTGTGTGTGTGTGTGTGTGTGTGTGTGTGTGTGTGTGTGTTACTGCATCATTCCTCAACACCTGTCCTGACATCTTCAAGTACTGTGTCATAGTTCCTCCTGACTGTAGAGTAAATCTGCTCTGATTGAGCCGATCTCGTTTTGCAGCTCTGTGCAAAGG